AGGCCCTTGGGGATGAAAAAACCAATTCAATTCAAGTCAAATTCTATTAGCCATCCCTGAAGAAATGTTTAACATCAGAACCTACTAAACCTATAAGTCAGCAAAGCCATAGGCCATTTGTTGAAGCACTTTTCCAATAACCAAATAATCAATTCATGACCATTATATCTCTTTCCATTTACTATTTCCGATTTAAACAATTTGGTTTTTAAGAAGAAAGCCCCCATCTAAAAAGGAATACAAACAAGCAAGCGAATGACCACTTTTGAACCCTCACAACTCCAATATTTTGTACCATACCTGGCAGCAATACAATCTGTGCAGAAAAGAAGAAAGAAATTTTTGAATAACCACTAGGAAAATCTAGCTGCCTCAGAGGTCCGGTTTTTTTTAACAGGCAGAAAATAAACCCATACGCGCCCAGAAACTCTGGGTTTACTAATCTTCCACCAAGCAAATAATGAGGCTATTTTCCTTTTTAAACCTGGTCTTTGTGCCAAATGAAATCTTACAAACAAAGTCTAATCCAATTCATAAAGAACTCTTTTTGGGAACCAGAGTGGAGTTGATAATAAAGGTAGGCAAAAGAAAAGTAAAGAAAGGACTTTGATAAAAGAACCATCTACCAGCTAAGCTAGAAATCTAGCACCCCAAGCATTAAGTATCTCCAAAGCATGGTCAAATAACGGATTGAAAAATCATTCCTTAACCATCTCCTATGAGCAATTTTTCTATCTCTATAGGTAATGGTTAGTCATGGTCCTCCACACTTTTAAGACCACCAAATCTTTAAACCAAATTCCTTCTCCTTCCAAGAATGCGGGGTATAATTTTCCGTTCCAAAAGAAATCCTTGATACTGGAAATTTGTTAAATACTTTGTCCTGTCCATCCCACCACTTCCTGTGACTAAAGTTTTTGTTAAGAGGTTGCCTTTTGTATGTTTTTAAACCTTCTTGCAACTTTATAAGTTTTGAAAAAATTGATTTCCAAATATTATTGTTTTAATTTTTTTTATTTTCTCCTAACAGCTTTTTGGAAAAGTAATTGTGCTTGCCTCTTGTGTGGACTAACATTTCTAGGATAATCGAATTCCAGACTAAGAAGACTTCAACATCAAAATTCAGCATGAAGATAGTTTGGTAAATTGAAGTTTATAATTTTTGTTGTATATATGAGTTTGAAAAAAAATATTGATTGTAATTGAATAGCTTAGCACACACACACTTGGGGAAATCTTTAAAAAATCACACTGATCGTACGGGACGAACCATGTTTCGTACAGGATTGATCAAGTCAGTTAATCCCTCGGAGAGCAATGGAACGAACAGGAAGTGGAGAAAAATTTTTTCTAAGTCTTTGATCGTCCAGACGATTCCGCAATTCGTCCCGGGACGATCTGCTTCTGGATTCTCACTTTATGCTGATAGTCCCAAACGATTCATCCTTTCGTTCCCAAGACGAAACTCTTTGGAAAATTTTCTTTTTCTAGACGAAATCCTATTCATCTCAGGATGAAACTCTCTGAAAAAAAATTTTGTCCAACGAAATTCCCTATTTCGTTCCAAGGACGAAACAATCTGGAAAATTTTCGTCCAGACGAAATCCTATATTTTTGTTTCATATATGAAACTCCTCTAGAAAATAATTCCATACAGTTCGAAATTCTATTCATACCCAGGGATGAATTGTTCCTACTCCTTGAAATTTTGAGAATGTCTTGCAGTTCATCCAAACCAACCCATGATATAACTGTTCCGTCCAAACGAACTTAGTTTATACGTTGAACGATGATTGGGTACGGAAGTCAGTTCGTACCAAATATTACAATTGGGTTCGTATGCCAACTAATTTAAGTATATTCGTACAGGACAAATTCTGACAATCGGTATAACGGGACGTCCGCTATGTACAGAACTTGAAAGCAGCAAGTTTTTTGGGGAAACAGCGTTTGTGTCTTTCTATATATAAGTCTAATTAAAACGGCCTCTTAATATCTTTTTGCCCTACTGGATCTTCGTGTTAACTAAAGGGAGAAGTGAGGGAGAGTGTGAGAGAGTGTTTGAAGGGAAGGAATCTTACTACTGGAGTGGAAGGATTCACTTGGTACTCAAAGGTAAGAATCTTCCACTTTGTGATTTGTGATCACTTTTCACTCTTTTTCTCTCGTCCTTCTGATTTCTTGTGGGAAGATCTGCCAGACGGAAAGATCCGGTTCTCTGCCGAACCTTGGAGAGTGTGGAACCAGATGAAGAGTTCTCTACCGTACACTTGGAGAGCGTGAACAGACTAAGGTTCTCTGCCTACACTTTGGAGAGTGTGAAACAGCCGAAGGGTTCTCTGCCCACACTGTGAGTAGTGTGAAAGGGCGAAGGTTCTCTGCCCTACACTTAGAGAGTGTGAACCAGCTGAAGGATTCTCATGCCGCACACTTTGGAGAGTGGGTGAAAGGACGAAGGGATTCTCTGCAACACTTGGAGAGTGTGAAAGGACGATCAGTTTCTCTGCCAACACTTGGAGAGGGAAAAGGACAACAAGTTCTCTGCCCGCACCGGGTAGTGGGTGGATGAGTTTTGTAAAAGGCTCTCCCAACTTGCCGTGGGTGCAAGGAGAGTCACTAGTGGTATTAAGTACATACCGACCACCACAATTTTTGGACTTTACATTGTACTAATTTTACTTCAAAAAAAATTAAAAATAATATAATGCATTTATTTTACGCATGTTGCATCCTAGAATATTCACGACGATAGAAAAATAAAGTTTAATGTCTTATAATATTCTTCCCTTCTTTTTCTCTATTTTTTCCTTCCTTTTCTCTATTTTCTTATTCTTCCTCTTCACCATTTCCTTGTTCGTTCTCATTTTCATCATTCTCTTCACCCTAAACTTAGATTTATGTTGAATTCATTCTAAAGTTAGTATCAAACCTAACACATGCTTATGTCTAGTGGGAAACAAATCTAAACAATTTAGATCTACCAAAATTATAACAATATTTACTATCTAAATCATCCAAAATAACTCTAACACATGCTTATGTCTAGTGAGAAAAAGAAATAGAAGAAATAACATAAAATATACCTTAAAATAGAAATCTAGGGTTGAAAACTTGAAGTCGGCCGGCGATTTGGGGTCGGACTGGGTCAGCGAGGTCGGACGTCGGAGTGCCGGTCGGATCTGGGTCAGCGGTCGGAGAAGTTTCGTCGGCGGCGGTCGGAGAACCTTCGTCGGTCGCGGTCGCACGAGCAGAGGCGAGCGGAGGCGAGCGAAACGAGAGAGAAAGAAGGAGAAAGAATGAGATGTGAGTCGCGGGCCTGGTCGTTTTAGGGCACTAACCGGCGGTTTTCCGACGGTCCAAACCACCGGTACAAAATTACTTATCAACGGCGGTCCAAGCCGCCGCTAAACCGCCGGTTTTATTTATAATCCGGCGGTTTGCCGGGGTTTCTGGACCGCCGTTAATACCGGCGGTTTAACATATAAAAAACACCGGTAAACCGTCGTTAACAAACGGCGGTTTAACCACCGGATAAACCGCCGGTGACACCGGCGGCCAACGAACCGCCGGTAATAGCCATTTTTCCTGTAGTGCATAAGATGACTACTTCCTTCTTATTTAGAATGCTCAACAACAATATCTGGCTTGGTTATTGGTATAGGGTTAAATATCAGTCCCCTTGGAAACCCGCTCCTTTGTCTGCTTCGAAATTCTGGATACTCTTTTGTAAGGTGGCTTTCTCCATTATACCTTATATCTCCTTTTCGGTGCATAATAGTTGTAATCTATCATTGCTTTGGGACCCTTGGTGTAAGAAGAAGCCTCTTGCTGAACTTTATTTCTCTTCTAGGCTGGCGAACCTACGGGTTAATGATTTTATTGTGGATAATATGTGGGCTCTCCTACCTTGCTGCCTAATGAGATCTCTGCTATGATTTTGGATACTAATATTGGGGGAGGGGGGTGGCAATCAGTAATCTCCTGGGATGGCTCCCCCACCCCTCCTCCTAATCAGGTGTTAAATACATTTTATGATCACTTGGACAATGTGGTTTGGTTTAAATTTGTCTGGCACAAGAAACATGCATTGAGGTATTCCTGTTACTCTTGGATGGCTCTGATGAAGAAATTAAAAACAGCGGATAATCTCACTGCGAGGGGTATTCAGGTTCATGGTAACTGTTCTTTTTGTGGCAGTTGCTTGGAGAACCATTATCACATCTTCTTTGAATGTGATTACTCTTTCTCCATCCTTACTGAATTATTACCCGTTACTGCTAAATTTTATCTTAGGCCGAACCTACTTCAAGTGTTTGATTTTCTGGATAACATTAGAGGCTATGGCAAGCTGGAAAAACATTTTTCTTATCTTGTTGTGGCTGCTATTATTTACTTCACCTGGCGGGAACGTAATAACCATAGGTTCAATAATTGTTGGAGAGCCCCTGTTGATATCCAAAGTGATGTTATTAAAGCTATTAGAGCCAAACTAAGCAGTGGAATGATCATGAAAAGCTTAAAGAAATTTTTGTGGCTATGTTGGGTTAACTGGCTCATTTTTGTTGTTACTATGTCGTGGTGGACTGCATTATGCACTTTAACATGGAAGTTTTTGCTGTCCCGATTTGAGGGTTGTTATGCTGGCTATTGAAAGGATTTTTCTTTGAACTGGGGGATGAGGGATATTCTGTTGATTTCGGAGATGACTACTATTAATTCCAAGGCTCACTATTATTCTACCTGGTTGTTCACTATTAGCTGGATACCTTTTGCTGGGTTGGACATGGCTTTTATCTAGAGGGGTTGGTTTTTAACCAGGACAATGATGATGCTCCAAGCTGTTGCTCAACAAATTTACCCCCCTTGGATGGCCTACGGGCAACCAGGGGTGTTTGCCCCCTTCATGATTTCTGAGTCCTAGTTATTTTATTCTAGAGCATGTTTCTTTGTTACGGGTTCATATTGGCTGCAGATGCTTTGGTTTTGTTTGGATTTTCCAGGTACTCCAGTTCTCATCTTGCGGATTGGTGGAGGTGTTGTTGCTGATCGAAGACTACATGGGCTTCCTTTTGGGCTCTTAATGTTTAATGTGTTGATGCAGTTTTTGTTTATTCTGGCGGGAAATTGGATTTTTGGCTTACATGTAATTTTGGTTTTTTGGGGTGGTATTGTGAGAGCTCGTTCCTTTAATTTGCCTTCCAAGATCTGATTTTCCTCCCAGGATCGTCCGGGATGATTTTGGATCGTCCTGGGGCGATCAGTTCATGGCGAAAGTCTGTGAGCAAGGGTTTTTATCGTCCAAGGAAAATTAATTATCGTCCTGAGATATCGTCCTGGACGATTGGATTTTGTTCATATCGTCCTGGACGATGTGGCGATCGGCCGGGCCGATCAGGTTTGTTTTAAAAGAAAATCAGCTCGATTTGATGAGAGAGAAAATCATTTTTTATAAAAAATATCTGAGGAGAGAGAAGGAGATAGAAAGCAAAGGAAAAGTTGGATTTCGGAGGCCGCGGAGCGCTTTTCGTCCGTCGCCGCTGTTGGGAGAAGTGTTTATCTCGCAGTAAGGACTCTGAATCCTATTTCTGTTTTCGAAGATGTTGAGTTTTGATAATTTTGTGCTCAGATTTGTGTTTTTGTTACCGAAAAATGCGCACCGTTTTGTATTGACAAAAGTTTCACCGCACAACTTTTGGTATGTTATTGATATAGTATTTCTGCACGTTTTGATTATTTTCTGGAGAATTTCGACCGGTTAGTTTTGATTCGGCGGTGTTTTATATTGACTGTAAATTTATATGATGTCAAAATTTGTTTGAGCAGTAGAATAAAAGTCTTATATTGTTGTTGTGCACGTTCTGTATTAATTTGGTAATTTCTGATTTTAGGAATTTTTGTGTAAATTCCGTATACTGCTGTTATGCCGCTGGATTTTCGTACGATTTCCGATTTTCTGAAATTGATGATTTGAATGCATACGAATGTGACTATCTGATTATTGTTACTGAAAGACAAGTGAAGACTGGTTGAACCGTTGGTTGGAGATCGACTTGGCCTGTACAGGATGGTGGGCCGACGGACTTTCCTTTAAAAAGGGTTTGTCGATATCCTCTATTGATCATTGATGAAACGATTTGGAGGCATAAGGAGATTCTTATGCCGATGGGCACAGAGTGACGACTCTTATTGAACCAACGGATAGATATAATTATGGATTTCTACAACAGCACTATGGATTGAAAAAAACCTTAATAGCCAGCGATGTACTTGTTCAGTAAGACTATTGTATTAAAGTGCATGTGTACGTTATTGACATGTTGATCTCGTGATGGATTTATTGATTTATTAATTTTGGATGGCTTTACGGACGGATTTACGGATTTATTGTTACTGTATGATTTCATTGATATTCGCATTATGTCATTGAGCACTGATACTGATACTGATATGGATATTGTATTGATTCATTGATGCTATGGACCTATTGATACTGATTCATTGATATTGACTCATTGATACTATTATTTCATTGATATACCGTATTGAACTGCTGCATGTAATTCATTGATGGATATGGAATATTTACTGTATTGATTTGATTTCAATCGTTCTTACGACGTATTGATTGATTTTGACCAGAGATGATTGATTTGATCGATTTTATTGATATTATCGAGACGATGATTTTCTTCTATTGATTTGATTGGATTCATTGATTTGATTGGATTCTTGCGAGAAGTATCGTATTTACTGGTTTATTGAGCTTTATGAATTTCTTCCTACTGTTTATTGATTCTCCTATCGCTGACTATGGATTTTATCGATTGTGCATTGACTACTGATTTTCGTATCTGCATAGATTCATTGATCATGTGCAATTGACTGTTATGGACTCGACTGATTGACATGCATATTGTTTCCAGTACCATTCTTTGATTTCAGTTATAGGTATTAGGTGATCTGCTGGGCTTTTTGAAGCTCATTATATGTGGTTAACAATTTCAGGTTCGAGCATGGGAGCAGGAATGGAGATTGATCGAGACTGTCAGACGAATCCTTTCACTATGGATGCCTGGGGCGTCACAAGTATAGTTGGGGCTTTTTTCACTATAGTTTGATCCTACATAAGTTTTTGTCTTTGCTTATGTAGGATTATCTTTTCTTGTATTCACCTTTACATGTAACCTCTTTGTTTTTCAATATATGGGCTTTGGCCCCTAAAATTTCCCAAAAAAAAAATTCTGTATCTACTTCTTTCTCTGTTTTCGCTTCCCACTGCTCCTCTGATCCACCTCTTTCAGGCAGCACTTCGGTGCAAGTGATCTAAGGAAAATTAGAAATTAATTTAATGCGGCAGCGCTGATGTTGCACTACAGCATTATGGGTTCTCTAAGGGAGCGACGTAGCTTGTGCCGCATGGCGCCGCGTCAGTAGGCTGAATTTTAATATTTAAAACATATATTTTGCACTATTCTATTCGATCTGTTTCAGTTTAACAATCGTCTAGAGAAAGAGAGAGGGTTTTCTACAGAGAGAAACTCTGTTTAAGACTATTTTGGATCGTTTTTAGTTATCAGACCAATTCTGAAAGTTGCTCGAGACGAAGTAGGTTACGTCTTGCATATCTTAGTTTTCAATAATTTATAGTTTGAGTTTTTTATAGTCAAAATTATAATATTTTTTTTTACAAAAATTTGGTTTTCTCGGAATATAGAAAATTTCATCCCGTAATTTTTGATATGTTGTCGGTACGATTATTCTGATCGTTTTGAGTATTTATTCGAGACTTTTCATTGGGTGATTATGAAAAGTACAATTTATTGTCAATTCAAAAATTTATTTTGTCATCTAAAAATAGTGTTTTAGTTTAATTAAAATTTCATAATATTGTTATACACGATATCTGGTAATATGATAGAATCTTAAAAACTATAAATTTTGGCGAAATATAGAACACCGGGTGAGAAATTATTTTGATAGTTGTTAGAGAATTTTTGTAAAATTATACAATGGTGCTATAATCACTTCAATAGTATAGAATGTACATTTTTCAATACTTCAGTTTATTATTTCAAATTCAATGTTAGTCTTGTTTTTCTATTTTAGCTTTTTATATAATACTTTAGTTTATTATTTAAGTATTTTCCATCTCTTTTGGGTTAAGTTATTGATTCTTGTTTTAGGTTGTCATAGTCTACTGAGCCATATTAGATCACTCATACTTTTGCTTCTGTTTATAGACCAGAAAAATGGCGAGGACTGAACTGAGTAGTTTATGATATCAAGCTCTAATATGTATTGTATGTGTGCTTTTTGGTTAGTTTTCTTTTAACATGCTTGACTTATATTTATGTTATAGCTTTCTATTATCAAATGTTGTTGTAGTTATACCTCAGATTATATTTATATTATTTGATGATATATAGAAAAAAATATTTATGAGATTCAATAGTCTTACACTTTATATTTATATTTAATAGAGGCTATGTATTGTACATAATTTGGATATTTTAATTGAGTAGTATTTCTTAAATTGGATCGTAGAGTTAGTCTTTGGTTCTTATCATGATCAAAATTTCAGAGTCGGTGGGAGGAGAAGTTTCATAGGTCATTATGAGGAGAAGTTTCAGGGTCACGTGAACACCCTGATTTCTTGGGAAGAGTTTACGAAAATATTTAAGACTTGGTTTGTACTTCTATCCGCTAGGAGACATGTATAGAGCTATTTTTGAAATTAGTTCAGGAGAGTATTTTAGTGATGCAATATGAAGTAGATTTTATTTCTCTCTCTAGCTAGAAAATATTTAAGACTTGGTTTGTACTTCTATCCGCTAGGAGACATGTATAGAGCTATTTTTGAAATTAGTTCAGGAGAGTATTTTAGTGATGCAATATGAAGTAGATTTTATTGCTCTCTCTAGCTAGGTATGATCCATAGTTGATTAACACGCTTGAATACAAGTGTTAAAAGGTTTTTGGTCCCTACTAGCACAAGAATTTATAGATTTTGTTCAGTTGGTTGATAGGCCAAGAGGATAGAGATTGATCAGGTAACATGCAGTTCATCAATAATGGGCTACGAGTAGGAAGATGTTTAGTATTGAGGCATATAGTAGTTGCCATTTTGGGAAGAGGAGTAGGTTTGTAACCTTTGAGTTCAAAAGGAGCACTACAAGAAAATCACGTATTACCGGTTTAGAAGCTAGGTTTATGGGAAAAATTTTCTCAACGGTAAAACGAGCGTCAGAAAAAATGTTTTGTCAAAAAAAAGTTGTCGGAATAAACCCGTGAAGCTGCCCGCCTGCCCGCACTGTCCGCTGCCC